CTGGGTCTAGATTTTTAAATGCAGCAACAACAACAGATGTGCATGGACTTGAACTAAATATAAACATAAAGTATATAAGACACTAACTTAGTGAGAAAGTGTACTATTTTAAAGTGTAACAAATGCTTCTGCCAAAGAAGTAGAGCGGCTGAATTAAACTTTTTAACCCTGTCTTTTAAAATGACTCTACTTATAACCACCTCAACGGTCAAACTTGATCTGTTTCTCTCCTTATTGTTACATAAAATACACAACAGTCATTGCTTCATATATTCCTGACACAAGCCGACGACTCTCCTTTGTATCTTTGGTTTACAATCAATTAGTTTGTTTTCATCTCAGTACTGAGAAAAGCTTCTGATCTAACGTGAGCATCTTTAAACCAAGGAAACCTGTTGACTTTATTGCAGCCAGTTTTCCTTCTGCTCCTCACAGCTGAATGACTACAGAGACAACACTTCTACACGTATTGCTGGTAAACAGTGGTGTCCCGTTGCAGTGGTTTATTTAGGAGTCTGTTCTAACCCAAACAGGGATTACAACAAAGCCCGAGGCTCCCTCTTTTAGACCACTAAGTACTTTTTCCCGCTGCTGGCTGCCGCTGCTGTATGGGTGAGTGTAACTGCTGAAACATACAGGCAGCTGTTTGTGTGTATGAGAGAAAAAGAGAGAGAGAGAGAGAGATAGAAAGAGAGAGAGAGAGAGAGAGAGAGAGAGAACAAGGTCGGCAGTGAGAGAAATTGTGTGTACAGACAAAGTGTCATCACAGCAGATCGCACACAGCGACGAATGAACGGCACTTAAGATCTGTCTGATAAAACCTTGGCCTGAGCGACTGCTCAGAACCCTATAACGTATTTACTGTTTACTGCATGCTTCAACTCTACAAGAGCCTGACGACTGTTTCTCTGCTTTCATCAAACGACACACTGCAGAGAAAAAAAACACGAGAGACACTCGTTTTTTTTATTTTTTTTTATCACAAAGACAAAGATGGAAAAACAACTAAAAACACAAACTGAACAAGACGAGATGAACAACAACAGTGAGCACTAAAAGTAGCCAAAAGCTACATTTTTGCTTGGGGTGTGTGTGTGTGTGTGTGTGTGTGTGTGTGTGTATATGGCCCTTTTCAGACTGCTTCTTTTTTTTTAGCAAAAGTGCACTAAGCTCAGCCGTCATCCTGTATTTGTACAGGATGTGTGTGTAGCTCCACATACACACACACACACACACACACACACACACACACACACACACACAGCGCTGGCTCCACTGAAACTGTCTCACCTCTGTTACTACCTCCAAAGATGGTACAGAGGGGGGGATCCCTTTGTCCCCCCAGACTAAACTTCACAGGGGCATAAATATCGCTGCTTGTGTGTGTGTGTGTGTGTGTGTGTGTGTGTGTGTGTGTGTGTGTGTGTGTGTGTGTGTCTTGTATAGATAGATTTGTATGGAGTTCAGGTAAAGAGAAAAAATATATAAATTTATGAAGAGGAGTGGGGAAAGGAGTTGCTATGGCAACAAGTGAATCCGAGTGCTACTCCTTATATTATTTATGATAATTGTGATAAAAGACAGAAACGGAACTTTAATGATAAAAATAATAGAAATAATAACAGTGGAAATACAAAAAAAGAAAAAATATGGCGTTTACGCTTCCATAAAGTCAGGAGAAGTGATGATCTCCAGACATAAACATCGATGAAAGTCTGCCAAATCTGAAATATGTCTCGATGTGATTGTGATAAACAGCAGGACAAAGGATAACTTAATGTACAGTGCCCTCTTGGGGACAAACAACGAGCAATCCCCGGTCACTGCTGGACAAACAAACTGCTTACTGTAGATCTTCTCCATGGTGTGTAAAGTTTCAGTTATTGATGATAATTAACTGCAGTCTTTTTCTATACTTTAATCATTAGGGTTATTTTAAGGCCTCTGTGTTAAACTGCAGATCCTCCAGTTAAACAGCTCTCCAACGTCAACAGGCTTCATGCAATTGGAAACCCCTATTAGGGTCAAGCCAAAACCCCACAATGGAAATCCACATCTTTTACAAAATCTCTTTGGAGAAGTAATCAGAACAAGATCATTTATCCATCGATGAGAAACTTCAGGCACAGTTTGGTTTGTATCTACAACACATTCATAACAGAGGGCCTCGGACTGCGATGTAATGGAAAAGCACATGGAGGCTTCATTCATTTTAAAGTTCATGACCTCACAAAAGCTACTTCCCTCTACACACACACACACACACACACACACACACACACACACACACACACACACACACACACACACACACACACACACACACACACACACACACACACACACACACACACACACACACATCAGGGTAAAGTGCAGGCATGTTGAAAGATGCTGTTGCCAGTGCACCTGTGTGTGTGTGCACAAGAGTTTGTATGTGGATTGCCTTGTGTGTGTGTGTGTGTGTGTGTGTGTGTGTGTGTGTGTGTGTGTGTGTGTGTGTGTGTGTATGAGTGCGTACATGAAAACATGCTCTCACGTTTCAGCAGTAATGGCCCTGCTGAAACAAGCTTCTCCCACTCAAAAGGTTTTAATGCAGACACCTCACAGGAGGGTTTCCTCTACGAGTGAGGATGGGGGGGGGGTTGTCTGACCTCAAGAGTGAAAAACAGTTTTTTTAATCGTTGTTTGAGAGTTCAGTCTGTATGCTAATGAGAGAATAATAATCACTATACTGTGTTTAAAAGAGTGTGTGAGGTAGGTAGGTAAACACAGGCGATACGACACAACACTGATTTCAGGCCGGTCCAGCGGAGAACTTCACCTCACTCTGCTAACCAGGTACCATCTGCTCACTCTGCTGGCTGCAGTGTGGTCCTCATTGAAAAAACCATCCACATGTAAATGAGAACAGCATCTGCTTCCCCCCTGACTGAATGGCCCCTGGGCTCTCACAGGGAACACATATGCACTGCTGGAGAATATACTTAATGCAGATGCTTTTCCTGCTACTCATGGAAGGACATCTTTCACTTTGCTTTGCACTCCAACACCAGTCTGATGTACAAGTCTGTCAGATTTAGGAGTCTAATCAGGGATGGTTTTGTGGGCTGCAACAATGCTGACAATGCAAAAGTAGATTAAGCCAATCACAGGTGAAGTTTTTACAAAGTTAGGTTGTTGGGAAATGTGTTTAGGAATTCAATGCATGAATGCTTGAGATCTGTAATCGTTCTTGTGCGTCGAAAGCAAAGCCTGTTCTCGGTCAGTGACAGATTGCTTGTAAAGCTGATGGTTTTCAATCAAAGCATCAAAGAGACAACGTTAATCCAGAACTTCTGACAGATACGTGTGCAATGCATGTCCGCTCCGGTCCGGTCCGTTACAGCTCTGGTACCCTTGTCCAAGAAGACCCACAGGCTAACAGGCTAACAGGCTAACAGGCTAAACCATAAACACATTTAAAACACACATACGGTCTTTGTTCTGAACCGTCAAAATGAGTGTTTTATTCTGAAAATTTCACCGGATGTTTTAATGTTGTTTCGGTGTCTGACTTCCCGTCCTGCTCGATCTTTTCTGTGGTAAAATTAATGCGCCGTGGTCCAGCATCAGGCAAGAATAGAAGCCTTGCAAATATGCTGCTTAGGGCTCCAGAGTGCCGGAGCAGAGACGCAGCACAGCGGAGCCGGTGGAAGCACACACATTGAATAAAGTGAAAAACCTATCAGCTCCCTGAACATGCATCAAGAGGAATTTATTCTTCACTCTTTACAAACCATCCTAGTTGCTGTTTGTCCATGCAGCTGGCTATAAAAGACACCTAGATACTTATAAATGTTTCCTCCAGGACGGCATCCTGTGACCTCAGCCTGTGCTAACACAAGTGATCAAGCCTCAGTCACCAAGAGGGAATCTATATTTTGCAAACGAGCAGTGCTTTTTCTCTGTTCTCAAAGGAGGAACACAAGTGAACAGTACATTTACATTTGTGCAACCACACCAATCCAAGACACCAGTTTCTGGTCATGGACAATGTGTTTGAGGGATAAAGTAGACAAGTGGAATACACAGTGATTTATGGGGGATCCGGTGTCACTGTTTATGCGGCTCCTGGAAAGTTTGGATTTCAGAGAAACTCGCAACATGAGACTGACTCCCTTCGCTGCTGTCCTCCTGTTTCATGTGATATACTCTCACAGCAATCTGCGAGCTATTTGGTTGACTTGGTCGGCCGTGAAGTCACGGGGTGTGTTTGTAGAGAAAGAAGTCAGTAAGGTATGGAAGCCCTAAGCAGACATGAGTGGAAACATTTTTATTTACGTTTTCCCACAAGAACTCCTTCCTGTGATCACACTTGTCTTACTCTGATAACGAGTAGATTTCTGTTAATTTCTCGAGATCTCAACTTTTTTGTCTCGTCATTTCATCACAGTTAAGCGCCACAAATGTTTTAACATAGTCCAAACCAACTTAACCTTTTATCGCTAGTTACTTAACACCAATCATATGCCTTCAAATGTATTTGCATCATGTTGTTGGTGCGTGGACACTTCTATAGGCCGCAACTCAAGAACAGAAAGTGGAAAGAAATAAAAAACAAATAAAAAACAGGGTTTTCTGTTGCCACAGTTTGAGCAAAAATAAAAATGTATCCACAGAATAACAACTGGTGGTGCTGATGAGGCAGACCACCACATTTCATGTTGCTATCCCCACCAATGAGGTTAATTAAGCCTCTTTCTATGTTAGTACATTTTACAATTTGGGAAAATTAGATAAATAAAATGAGATATCCAGAAAATAAACATTAGCTTCACTTGTTATCACAGAAAAAAGTAGTAAATAAAATATATGGAGGCATGTCCACTAGGGCTTCCGTAGTAAGGTGGTACCTCTTGAGTTTGTTGGACTACTGGACTAAACATCTGTTATTTCATCCATCAGTATTGATTGAACTGACTGGAGTGTTTTGATTGAATGACTGTCTTTGTTCTTACCTGTAAATCAGGATTGATGCCAGCAGAGTTTCACTCTCACAGATGGTGCTGACAACGCAGATCTGCAGTCCCTACACAAACACACACCCACATAAAACGAAAAGAAAACACAGTAAGAGATTCTGAAAAGGTTCTGGAGTACAGTTAATGTAAAAGATTTGAGATTGTTAACTCACACAAACACAGAGCAATGCTCCCCGAGTGCAGGCTGTGAACTAGAGCCGACCGGTTAATCGACCAGCCGATAATATCGGCCGATTTTAGCTTACCCAGTGACTATCGGTATCGGCTTATTTTATCACAGATATGTGCCGATATTTCTAACTTTATTCAACAGTCAAAAAAGCATTTATTAGAGTTTCACTGTATTACAGTAGCAGTTCTCTTTCACCAGCAGAGGGCGCTACAACAAGCATCATCACTCTCCAGAGAGTCAAGCTGTGACGCATGTACATGCACAGTTACTTTCCAGTTGAGTGACCATCTCATCTTCATTATATATCGTTTTCAACAAGTGTTTGAGAACTGCGGATTTGCGGATTTGAGGGATCAACGCATTTAATGTGTTTATTTATATATATATCTATCTCCACAGATTGAACATAGATTTAAGAAAGATATCGGCCGATATATCAGTATCTGATTTTTTTCCACCCAAACATCGATATCCGTATCGGCCCCAAAAATCAGATATCAGTCGTATCCTACTGTGAACACCTGTGATGTTTCAAAGTTACATCAAGGGCAGCTATCTTTGAATCAAACAGCATCAAATGAACGTGTTTTCAACAAATTCATATAAAACTCACAGCCGGTTCGCCGAGAGGCTTTCAGGGACCTCGTGTGTTTTGTTTACTCATTTCATTTGATGTATGGAGTTGAGTGAAGCATAAATTAAGTCATAACAAGAAGCATATACATCGACTCTAAATCATTGTGTTTTGTGTCCTGCAGAAAAACAGGGACGTTTTACTAGAAGATGTGATTGGAGGGTCAGGTTGTTCAGATTCCCACCTGTAGAGCTGGAAAATTAAAGTCACATAAAAAATTCTTTATAAAAACACGACGCTCTGGGCGGGTCCACTTCTTCATCTCTAAGAAAACACAGCCTCCAAAACACTGTAACTCACACTGGATTCATTTCACACGGCGTGTCTTTTTATTGCCACCCAATAAAACACTCTGGCCTCGTGTGTGTGTATGTGTGTGATTGTGTGCGGTTATGTGTGTGTCTCTGCGTTTTGGTGTGTCCGTCTGTGGCCCTTTTTTTTTCTGCATGTGTTATCCCCCATAGTCCAAAAACCAGCGTTGGACAAAGGGGTCGATTCATATTAGGTGTTAAAAAGGCCAGATTGTCCATAAATCAAAGCTCTACAAACTTTAATACATCCCACAAACCACAACGAGTGGAAAAATAAATTAAAATTACCGCTTTTTACTCTAAATAAAGGTGCCATTGAGTTGCTGACAAAGAGAATGACATGCCTTTTGGTAACAGCCGAGGGTCAGAAAATTCCAGAATAACACTTCTTTTAGCCCACACCACTCCAGGAAACTTAAACTCTCCATGCTCTAATAGCTGTGACAGAGCACAGCCTTTAAAAAATGAAATGTGTGTGTCTTTAAAACGTCAGGCAGATTCAGAAAAATCAAACACAGTATAGAGTTTGTTTGCATAAAGCTGATGAAAGATTATGAATAAAAAACAGAATTACAGATGGGGAGAGAGAGGATAGGGAATGACTACTCGGACTTGAACCCGGGCCACTCGCTTCTAGGGCAACATCCTCTGTACATGAAGGGGAACGAGCTAACCGCTAGGCTAACACCCCAGGAGAACAAAACTTTAAAAATGCTTGATTATGGAATACAGGTCCGATACATAAATTCTCATGTATTTAAGTTAGCCAGGGAATCTAAATCCTGATTGGCTTTCTTGAAACAGAGTAAAGTCTTCGACCGGAGCTGGTACATCATTAGCGCAGATTATGTTCTGCCTGCTTTGGCTCTCCATACAGACTGACACACTGCAAACACCAATCAGAGCCTGATGATCTGTGATTGGTCTATACAGCTTGGACTACAAATGTACTACAAACTGAAGACAGAACACTTCCCATGCTGAGAATCCAAAAATAGACTACAAATTCTAAGTTTTTAAAATGTATTTTGTGAACAGAGATTAGGAAAAGCCCGACAGACGACAGTCAAGTTTAGAAGTTCACATATCATCTATATCTTTGTTTATGCTTCAGTGTTCTCAAACTAAATAATCAGCATCTCTTTGACCTGACCTGAACACTGTAGGGACAAAATAACCCATTTAATGATAAGTATGAGTTCTCTTTCAATAAGAAGCTCAAGGAGATGAGGGAAGAGAGTCACACATTAAGGCTATGTGTGCTTCAAACCCTGGGGTACCTACCTGAGCTCACCTGAAATCCCACAACCAGTCATTTCACCAACTGAGCTAAACAACCTCGGTCCACCTCACGTCTGATCTGAGGTATGCGGGAAGCTGAAAATGCCACTGCAGGTGTCGGTTTACTACCCCAGCCTTCAGGTATCAAAAGCAGGCGTGTCGTGGCGAGAGCCAGGCGGCGTGCCAGACAGTTAGTTGTGTTCAAAAAGGATCAGTGAGGCGGATTACCACCTAAAGCCCTTTTTTTCACTGAGTTCCTACAAACTGTCATTTCTCTCTTTGCTTCACAAAAGCCAATGAAAACAATGACAGGTAGGGTGATTTGAGTGAAGTATAGCCTGCAGTGGAAACACACGTAGAGAAAACCTTTTCCCCAGGTAGGAATCTGTCAAATTGATTTTCACTTCAAGCTTTGCAGGTGTTTTGTTCTGATGTTCCTGAGTGAAACTTTAGATTAATTTGAGATTTTTTTGTTTATAGATAAGAGTTTTTTTGGTTTTTTTTGCATGATTGCAAGAATAACATTTTATTTTGTTTTGTTGCACAATTAAAATTTTGATGTTGCACATTGAAATCTTAAAATCACAGTCCCCGCCATTTAGTACCATGCCGACCCTGCGTAAGTCGGGGCAGCCTGTGGGGCGCCCCAGCTTGATAGACTTAAAGGCTTTATATGCGATTTTTTGATCCAGCAGATGTCGCCCTTGAGCACCAGCATGAAACCAAAACAACTCGCGCTGCATTGTTGTGTTAGCATGCTAATGCTAGTGATCTTTATTATGCTGGTATCTTCACACTGCATGTAAATTTACCTGAAATGAGCGTGATCTAGAAACACAGTTAAGCAGTGAGTACAGTATGTTATTCTTCTTTTCTCTAGTCCCTCAATTAAAGAACTTTTATACTCGAGGCGAGGAGTCAGCCGGCCGTCCTGGCGATGTAAACAAACTGAAGATAGGACTCTGAAAACTCTGAAAACATCACAGACAGTGGGACTCGGGTGTTACACCCATTGTAGACAGTCATGACTCACAGAGTTATTTTCAGAGAATAGACTTGATTTATATTATATTTAAGTGTAAAGTATAAAGACTTTAACACACGCTTGCAAAAAACATCATGTTACCTTTGCCAGTCTAAGTCAGTACACATGTAATGGCTCTATTCTGATCACGGACCGGCCTATGAGCAGACATACCTCCCACCCTTCACCATCTGCACACCGCTGTCCACTACAACAGTGGTGCCATAGAGGTTTGATTAATCCTAGAAAACCATTAAAAGAAAACACATGATCAAATTCATGTGAGTCCGTAAATAGCCAAATGTCCGAACAGAAGATTGATTCATACTAACGGGTAATGTGGCAATCACTCAGCGAGTCTTGCCTTTTAGCCGACACACTCACTCAGTATACAGCTCTGAGGCACTTCTGTTCACACACACACTAACAACACATGCACAGGGACACACACATGCACCCCACCCACATGGTCAAAAGTGCTCAGCCGCGATCATTTTTTAAAACATGTACGTTTACCTGGCAGAGTGCCTGATGCCCAGTGCTCAGACCCTCCAATGAGAAACACACACACACGCTGATTAAGACGAGAAACTCAAAAACTAAAACACAGACTGAGTGTAACACACCATGTGAGACAGGTTACTTTTTAATCGGTGATGTGCTACCAGCTTGTTTTTGTCTATTTCCTCCTTTCATTCTGCTTTTTAAACCTGCTTTCTTTGCCTCGGTTGCATACACAATACATGCAGCCTATATTTCACAGCCAGCAGCAGCTCTGATTATATTTACATTGACCTAGCTGAATTAAATTACAATGAAAACCATCCTACTCCATTACAGGCCATAGGATCTCCCATCACAAGCTGCTTTTAGGCAGACATTATCATGGTACAGAGACAGAGAATCACAAATGAATTAATGAATTTAAAGTCTTTATATGTGATTTTTCACACTTAAATATAATAGAAATCAAGTATATCCTCTGAAAATAACTCTGTGAGTCATGACTGTCTACAATGGGTGTAACACCCGAGTCCCACTGTCTGTGATGTTTTCAGAGTTTTCAGAGTCCTATCTTCACTTTGTTTACATCGTCGGGACGGCCGGCTGACTCCTCCCCTCGTGTTTAAAAGTTGTTTAATTGAGGGACTAAAAGTTGGGTACCGAAAGGGTGACATTTTCATTTGGGCTCAAATGGAGATTCCTCTGTTTTTGGTGCCATGCCTCAAGTGGACGTTGAGGAACTGCAGCTTTTAGCACTTCTGTATTCATTTTTCAGCACCAGAGGCTGCCGCTTGGTAGCTGATGCCAGAAACACGTTTACTGAACATTACTCAGTTCATGAATAGACTTCAAATGTCCAACAATTTTCATGGTCATCAAATGTCGTTGTGTTTACTACTCGCCTGGGCTGCCACCTAGTGGACCACAATTATTGTTGATAAACTCATCAGATTCACCATGATGATGATCCCTTTTAATATAATGTAAAACAAAAATAAAAGATTCAAGAAAATCAATTCCATTGACCGCTATAAGATGTGTTCTTCCTGCACAGATTCAATAACAACAGTAACAAAAGGTTTATTCTCTCTGGCGGTACGAGGTGTGAAGAAAAGACGTCA